GAGAAATTTTGGAGGAGCGTAAAGACACCCTTGAGTGAGAGACAGACAGAGAGAGAAACTCTGTTCCATGATTGTGTTGTTTATTGTACATATAACTGTTTGACCTTGGAGACACAGGCCCTGGAGAATCATGATTGAGTAATTAGAGGAAGCTTCCTTTTCTTTAATTTACAATGAAATTTCTTTTACACCATTAACATGCTGTGTTTTGTTCATAAGAAAATTCATATGTAGAGGCCATATTTCTGAAAATGGCAAAAATAACACCATCTCTCAAGTCTATTGAAAAACCCTGTATAGTGGATATGATTATTTTTAGTCTTTTCATTTTGAATTTCTGTACTTGTGCGTGTGTTTAACAGTGCACTTAACATTATACAACACATATTTTTACATTCCTCTCTGTAGTCGTATTGCTATACCCTGAGTACTCCTGAATATACCTTAATTTTTATAGGCATTTTAATGAGATGATTGACAGTGTGGGGATATATCATGAATCTTACTTGTGGCCATAGGACCAGCTGCACTCTGAAGTACAGCCTTTAGGTCATAGAGCTGATTATGAATTCATCTATGTGATTCCTGAATATGCTAATGAAGTGATCACAAAAAAGAAAGGAAAAGAAAACGTTCTGGATGCCCAGCAGCTGCAGATGCTCAAGCGGGTGCACCACCTGGTAAAGCGTGTCCCTGACCAGGCCTAGGTACTGCTGGAGGATATGAGAAATGACCATCAGCATAGGCTGTGATGCAGACCTACCCACACTCTCACCGAAAGTACATGCACCTGGACCTGCCAGTCCAACTCCATGGTGCACATCTCCAGGGTCACTGTGTCAGCAGGGTTCTCCAGGGAAGCAAGTAGAACATCTTGCTATAGTCCGGAGTGTGAGAAAAGACCACCTAAGACCGAATTAAGTCGAATTGGGAGTCTTTATTAGAAGGCCAGGCCAGCGACTACCCTCTGCGCCACCACGGACGGCTGCACAGAGAGCAGTGCTGTATCCAAGAAGTAGAGAGGTTTTATACTAGTACAGGTTAGAGCTACGTGACTTTAGCCATGAGGATTGGGACAACATTACAGCATACCTTCCATAGCTTTAGGGTCCGGGGTCTGCCACGGACCACATCCTGTTCCAATAACAATCTCTAAGCAAGCAGGTTTACAGAAGCAGAAAGCATTAGTCCTGACTAAAGCATATTCTTTCATGGGTTAGGCAACCATAGTAAATTTTAACTATACATTACTTCACACAGATTGAAACGATTAAAACAATCAGTTAAGGTCAAGTAATGATTTTCCATTGCTAAAAGCCAACGTCACCATCACAGCTGAAAGGGCAGGCTAATATTACATTTTGGGTCCTTAACACATCTGGGTTTCGGCAGGAACATCCTCACTCTCCACAGCTGGAGTGGGGGAGGACTGAAAGACACCCTCTTAAACAAGTGATAGAACAGTATCCCCCAAAATGGGACATCCTGACATCAAATGTCTTTTGATGGGACCCAAAATTGCCTATGCAGAATTTTATAAAAAAAAGAAACTGTTGAACCTAAACGTAATGATGAGGAAACAATCAGACAATGTGAATGGGAAACATCCCCAAGATAACTGGCCATGACTCTTCAAGAAAGACAATGTACAAATAGCCAAAAGAGAGACCAAAGAGATATAAGCAGCCAAATAGAGTTGTTACGCCTTGATAGGGTCTTGTGTTGTTCGTTGATTTTGGCCCTCCTTTGCTTGGTGCCGGTTTTCTATTCCTGTCTGGTGAGTCTTGCTCACCCATTGATGTCCTCAAAGGAGGGACAAGGCTGGTGTCTGTAGGTGATAGGGGTGTGTTTCCTTTTATAAATGTTATTCTTTCCCTGCAGCTCTGGCCTGTGTTGGAGCATGAATGGGAGCTTTGTGTATGGGAGTGGGGCTTTCCCACAGGCTGGTCTCAAATGTGGGTAAAGCTGTCCCTCCCCTGTGCCAAAAGTGCCAGGATAGGGCTGGCTGTTTTGTTTTGTTTTTTTAATTTCCAAATATTCAGGGAGTACAAATGTTTTTGTTACATTGATGGCTTTTAAAATGCTTGAGTGAGGGCCATTAGTGTGCACATCACCTGAACAGTGTCCATTGTGCCTGTTAGGCAGCTTTTAACCCCTCCCTTCCTCTCCTCCCCCCCTTATTGATTTCCAATGACTTTTACTTTTCTCTATGCCTACATGAGCCCATTGATTGGTTACAAATTATTAGAGAGCACATCTGGCATTTGTTTTTCCATTCTTGGGATACTTCACTTAGGATAATGGTCTCTAGTTCCATTTAAATTTCTGCAAAAGACATTAATTCATTTATTTTCATGGCTGAGTAGTACACCCTGGTGTGTATGTTTGTGTGTGTGTATGTATAAATGTGTGCGTGTGTGTGTGTGTGTATCTCCCACATTTTTTGTTTGTCATTTTGTTTTTCATTTCAGAAGCCAGCATCTGGCCTGGATACCACCTCAGGCTGTAAGACAGGTGGATTTCTCTAGGAAACCACCCTGCAGTTCTTGTTTTCCTGTACATGGATGTTTTACCTAAGGAAAGGGAAGAAGAGGGTGCAGGAGGCACAGACAGGCTCTCATCTGACTGAATCCATCTGGTCTGCCTTCTCTCGTTCCTGCCTGCTCCCTGCCACCTGGGTCATACCTGGCTCCCTCTTTCCTGAATCCCCCTCCTGAATGCTGTGGTCTTCCTCACCCTGATTCCTGTCCCTGTACCTCCATCTGATTTGTCTGCCAGAAATGTGTGGGCATCTCTCATTTGTGGCTGGTAGGCTGAATAATGGCCCCAAAGATTCCACATCCTAACCACGGAGACTGTGAATAATATGGCAAAAGGGCCTTTGTAGATGTGATTAAATTAAGGATCTTGAAATGGGGAAATTATCCTGAATTATCTTGGTGGGTCCTAAATAGAATAGTCTCACCTTACAGGTGGGACACAGAGGAGTCAGTCAAAGGGATGTCAATGAGATGAAGCACAGATTGGAGGGATGTGCTTTGAAGATGGAGGAAGAGGCCACAAGCCAAGGGATACAGGGGCCACCAGAAGCTGAGAAGGATGAGAACACGGATTCTGTCCCCAGAGCCTCCGGAAGGAACCAGCCCTGCCATCACCTTGACTTCAGACCAATAAAGCTGATTTGGACTTCTGATCTCCAAAACTGTAACCCAAAAGAGCAAATGATACTGTATAAGAAAGACACCTGCACCCGAATGTTTACAGCAGCACAATTCACAATTGCAAAGATGTGGAAACAACCCAAGTGTCCATCAATACATGAGTGGATTAATAAAATGTGGTATATGTACATCATGGAGTACTATTCAGCTTTAAGAAACAATGGTGATATAGCACCTCTTGTATACTCCTGGATAGAGCTGGAACACATTCTGCTAAGAATAAATGTCATTGTTTTAAGCCACTAAATCTGTGGTAATTTGTGACAGCAGCAACTGGAAATGAGTACAGGCTCCTTTCCCATCTCTTTGCCATGGCCAGTTTTTCCCGTTTCTCCCCGTTACTTTCTACAAACAAGAGTGTTCCCTGTGGTGCAAGATAAGGGGCTCTAGAGTTAGACTTAACCTCTGATGGCACCTCTGACTGCTGTGTGACCTGAGGCAAGCCACGTTGCCTCCCTGGGTTTCAGTTTCCTCACAACGTGAGCGTCAAATTTGACGATGCAGGAGTTCCTAGCTGGCAGCCTCTAGTTTATATCAGGCCTGCTAAGTCTTGTTTAGCTCTCAGTGTTTTAAAGCTTTACATTGAATTATTTTGAACAGGACAATATATTAACATCGTATAAAATTGAAAAATTATTTTAAAAATGTTTCCAGTGAAAAGTTTCTCTTCCACCCCTGTCCTCAGCTGTCCCAGTTTCCCACTGCACCTGACATATTCCGGCAGAGACATTTCTATACATATATCAGAAGTTTCACCCACATACATACAGAGACACGCACACACTTTAAATAAATAATAACATGCCATATGCTTCCTGTTTGACACTTTGCTTCTATTATTTAATATATTTTGATGATATTTCCATATCACTACAAAGCAAGCTTCCTCACTTTTGCTAATGGCTGCATAAGTCTCAATTGCATGAATGTGCCATAATGTAATTCTCTTGGTTTACCAATGGAATTATAGGGTATTTCCCATATTTTTTTATTAAAACAGTGCTGGCATACATAACCTTATAAATATGTCATTTTGCATGATAGTGTGTGCCATAGTACACATTTCTAGAAATGGAACTGATGGGTTAAAAGATATGTGCATGGCTATAATATTAAAAAAGGGAAAATAATCAGCATTGCTGAGAATGTGGAAAAATTGGAACCCTCATTCACTGTTGAGGATGGCACTACAAAATGGTGCAACTGCTCTGGAAAATGATCTGGCAATTCCTCAAAAAGTTGAACATAGAGTTGCCATATTACCTTGTTTCCACTCCTAGATATTAATATATAGTGAATAAAAATCAATACAAATATCCACAAAAAATTTGTACGTGAATGTTATAGCAGGATTATTCATAGTAGCCAAAAATGGAAACCACTCAATGTCCATAAAATAACAAATGGGTAAACATAAGGTAGTATATCCATGCAATGGAGTATTATACATCATTAACTCTAATGACGTTCTGAGAGACACCGCCAAACGGATGGACCTTGAATTTCACACTTCACAAGACTTAAATTGGACTGTATGTTGATCTGAGAAAACATAAGGTAAACGTTACTAACACAGAAACCTTTGTATTACAACATGTGAATCAAATATTTGGCTTAAGTAGTCTGAGATTTCATCCTCAATAATATTTATAATTTTCAAGTTATTTTACTAAACATCAGAGTAAACAGATAATGGAGCGTTACCAAACATTCATGTACTGATTTGATAATGAGCTATTACAGCAGTAAACTCAAGATAAATAAGTAATATTTCTAGTATTATATTTTATGACATAATAACTTATCCTTGATTAACTTCCTGACCGTGTCTTTTACGTCTTTGTTTCTGAGGCTATAGATCAGGCGGTTAAGCATGGGGATGACCACAGTGTAAAAGACAGAGGCCACCTTGACTATGAGCCATGAGCTTTTGGAGTTAGGAACACAGTAGAGAAACAGGATGGTTCCATGGAAAACAGTAATGGCGGTCAGGTGGGAGGCACAGGTGGAGAACGCTTTATGGCGCCCCCCAGGTGAAGGCATCTTTATGATTGTGATAAAAATGAAAACATATGAAGTAAGAATGATCATCAGGCTGCTTATTTCATTAAATGTAGCAGAAACTGAAGTGACCTTCTGGCTAATGTAGGGGTCAGAGCAGGACACAGCAACAATGGCACCATGCTCACAGAAAAAGTTATTTATGATATTATTTCCCCTGAAGGATAATTCCAGTAGAAAGTAGGTAAGTGTCAGGGAACAGACTATACCCCAAGAGTATGACGCAGCCACCAACAAAAAGCAAAGCTTCTGGGACATGACAACTGTGTAGAGCAGAGGGTT